GGGACTGTTGTGAACCCAGATCATCACATGCAGGGCAGAAGGGCAGGTTTGGGAATGGAGCTGCTACAGTATTTGCAGAAATGAGGGAGTAGGTTGGGTTACCTTGAGGCAAGGTATGGTGGCCATTCACAGTCTTGTGTGTGCAATTCATTGTAAAACTAATATCCTAACCTAGGATGAAAACGGCAGTAAAATAGTTAACATTGCACCAGTGGATTTAGTCACTTCAACAAAAGCTCCGTAATTTCAATGGCTACCTTCTGGATCCACCACAGCATTCCTGAGCAGCCCATTTCCATGACCACTGCAGCTTTCCCATGGCTGCCAGCCTTAGTACCACCACCACCACCATCTCCACATATCTGTCTTCACCACCTACAGTCACCTCATCAGCATCCAATCCAGCAACCAGCCACCTACCACGACCATCACAAACACCATCAACCTCTCACCTCCACCATTTACACGGCAGCCAAGTGGCAGCACTAGATTCAAAGCTGCATCCTCCTGGCTCCAGCATGTGTGCTCTTAAAGACTTACTGTGTCAAACACCAGACAGCAAAGTCATAATGTGGTTCTCCAACCTGAAGAGTGGTATTCAAAGTTTCCTGATGCCATGACACATGCTTAGGATGCTAATTGTTCTGATTTATTATTTACCTTATGTGTGTATTAGACTAGCTGATTGGATCCTACGAATAAGAAAAACTATGTGTCAATCAAAAAGACAATAAAGTTTAATGTGCTTAAGGAGAATATTGAGTGTTGAGAGGAAACGTAGAAACTGGAACTGGTGGAAATGTCAAGTGAGCAGCCACTTAGGCAAAGTTACTGTATTACCTAGCAGTTCTACTCCTAGGTATCTTTCCAGAAGGCAGAGAATCTAGGTCCACAGAACACAAATGTTTACAGCATCATCATTCAAAAATAGCCTTGAAGTGGAAATCCCTGAAATGCCCATCTGGATATATAAATGTGGATCTATACAGTGCAATACTGTTTGGTCACAGTCAAGAAAAAGTACTCATCCATGCTACAATATGGACAAGTCTTGAACAGCATTAAGTGGGAGAAGCCAGACATTAAAAAGCAAAACCAAACATGTATTTGATCATCCGACTCATCTGAAATGTCTAGGAGAGACAATTCGGCAGGTAGAGACTGGGAAAAATACATGTTGGAGATGGGCTCCATACTTTTCAACAGGGACATTGACAAGATCACTTCACTGGTAGCTTATGTAATCAATTTTCTATTAATAAGTACTTTAAAATAAACCCTTGAGTGTCCTTCCAGAAACAACAGAAGCAGAATGTCACAGGAAGAGATTTTGCTAGCAGCCGTTTTTCTTAAATCCAGTGCTCTGATCTTTTTAAAAGTACAAACTCAAAGGGATATGCCTCCTCCTTAACTAGTGTCCAGATGAGCATGTGCAGTGTTGTAAAGGGGCTCATGCTCATGTTATTAAGATGTCCAACCCCATCCACTGTCAGTGAGCCAGATTAAAGGAGTCAGTGATACAACTGGAATTCTAGATTTTCCTAGGAAAAGTCATTTGACTCCTAATATCTTCTTATCTTGATTGATGCTTGCTCTGGATCCAAGGGAAAACAGGATGAGGAAAACACATCCACATCTGAGGGCTGGTAATTTAAGACATGGGGCTTCTTCTCTCATAAGACAGTTCAGTTTGTGCTTTTAAAATGCTTTAGACTCACAGTCTACATTACTTTCCCCAAAATGGGACAGTGCTTTCCAGATCTTATATTCACGTGAAAAATATTCCCAAATGAATTAAAATCAGTATAAATTTGATGCTTTAAAGATAAATAACATGAAATATGCATGTTTAGCTAAACTTTAATGAATTAATAAATGTTCGGCAATTTAAGACTAGGGAATAGACTACTTTTGTTGTTGGAAAACACTTAAAATATTCCCTCTGTTCTAAATGTGAATTGTCAGAATTACTAAGTTAACATTCTTTTATGGAAAAACATCCCAAGGCTAAATTTTTCAGAAATCTTTTTATTATAAAATCAAAACGATGAAGGATTATATTAATAAAATTAAAACGAAATAGAGTGGTGCTTGGAGTAGTGGTTAAGATGCTGTTTGGGATGTCGGCATCCTATATTGGAGTGGCTAGGTGTGGGTCCTAACTCTACTTCTAATTCCAGCTTCCTGTTTAATGTGTGCCCTGTGAGGCAGCACCCTGTGAGGCAGCACATTATAGCTCAAGCACTTGGGTTCCTGGAACCTACATAGATAATCCTGATGAAAACTACGGCTTCTGACTTTGGTCTGCTTCAGCCTTGGCTATTTTGGGCATTTGAGGAGTAAATCAGTGGATGCGAAACCTCTCCCTTGCTCTGTCTCTACTTTTGTTTCTGTCTCTGCGTCTTTCAAATTAACTAGAACCAATATAATCACATCATGCCTAGGTAAAATAAACACAAAAGGACTGTCCCACAAAGGATAACCACAAAATATCCACAACATGTCACAGTAGCCCCTTGGATGTTTTTCAAGTTAGATGGAGTGGAGACTTCAATAATAAAATTATTTTGTAAAAGAACTGTTATGTATTTCTTAGAGAAAGATTACTTAGAAGTAAAACTTGGACATTCTGGGGACTTAACTTTCCTTTAACTGCAGTGAAAAAACAAAAAACAAAAAACAAAAACCAACAACTTCCCTCCAAACAGGATGCACTAAGTGTTTAGCACATTAATTATCATCCTTCATCAAGCATAAAACCAACAGTCAGGAAATACAGCTGCAATGGCACAATTACCAACACACTCAGAATAAATCCTGAAGCAAAGAAAACAAATGGCTCCCTTCTTGTTCACAGTGCTTGGCCGCTCTCTCGAACATGGTGTTTGCTTTCCAGTCAGAATCCCAAAAGGCACCTAAGGGCCATCTGCTTGGGTACATCCAGAGAACAAATTAACCACGAAGATATTTATTTAACTTTCAAGATCTCCAGGATCACTACGTAGTGCCACTCAGAAGAAAAGTGCATGTACACCTCATATAAAATAAAAAGCTTAAAAGCACAGGGCATATCTTGATAATACCCCCAGTTTTCATGGCTTTGGTTTTCATGTTTTTTTGCATACAATACGATATGTGATATACCTAACTGCAGTAACTACATCACATTTGAGGCCACATAAAGAAATCAGGTCTCAGCTTGAGATTCTAATGCAATAAGACATGGCTGAAAACTCAGATGAGCAGTATTATAGAGAGGCATTCAAAGTACAGGTCATGTAAGATTTGCTTCTGGACACATGCTTAATGTTACTACAACTTGATTATAACTCAACTGACATACTGCCAGGAGTGCATCACAGTCAATCCATGGGCTGTTATGGAAGCTGTCATCCCAGGATGCGCAAGGTGAGGACAATCACCTACCCAACATGTGTGTAACTATGTCCAGAACCACTGTGGGCAAATGCTCACGGAATTCTCCACCTAGAAACCCGAACATCATCAGTTGACTCTTTGCAGGGTGAATGTCATGGTGAATATTAAAAAGCCATGCTTTCCCCAACATAGGAGGCCAAGGATATAGGTTTTTCCAGGACTGTGGCATCCATTCAATTTCACGTCACATTTTATACATAATTAACATAAACCTAAGGCTGTTCCTTTACTTGGCTGACTGACATAATTTTCATTTAAAGGACCGATAACTTTTGAAATGGCACACAAAATAACACCTCATGTATATTCCTGCCCCCAAACCATGGTGACCCAGGAGATTCTGCTCAAACCATGTGAGAACTGTGAATAGTGTGCTATAATTTTCATCAGTCCATTGTGATTATTAGGGCTGCTTCCTAAGGTACGGAAAGCAGCAATAGATCAGAGAAGAAATGCAGCCCTTACGAGGAATCGTAGGACCATCGGTGCGAGGGGGAAGGCTGCAGGCTCCTGTGTGCAAACACTTAGCTGGACAAAGAAGGACTCTCAGAAAAATGAGACCCTTCCTGTCGATGCTAAGAGTTTGCAGAGCAGAACAACACAACAACTGACGGTTTTTACCAGACGGCCTGTGAGTCAGCCTCGACAACGTGCAAGTGAGCTGCTGGGAGGATAACCAGAGGAACTGTGTGGTGACCTGACTGGATTTCAGGGTGGGGGGGTCTCTCCTGAGTTCCTTGTGGGACCCTCAATTTAACCACTAGCACCTTAAAAGATCTAAAAGCATCTTAGTACTTTATAAATAACTTAAAATTAGAGAAACATTTTATGGAAAAAACAAAACATACAAACAAAACAGCTCTTTAGGTTTGTCAAGCAAGGCATCAGGGCACGAACTGCCCGACAAATGACAAGTAAGGCAATCTCCAGGTGAACTTTAGCTAGTTCTTGCCCGGCTGCTCTCCTCTTTCCAAGACACAACCTGTTAACAAAGCACTCATTGTTCTCTCACCATTGTTAAAATTCTTTTGGAAGCAAAATCACTTCCTTATCTCTATATGCTTTCATTCCCAGCAACTATTAGGGAGAAAAATAATTTTATATTCAGTTTCAATACTGAGATTCAGATTCTGTGCTTCTGTCTCTTCTAAGAAACCATCGAGTTTGTTGATTCTTCAATTAGAAAATTGCTGTAGTTTTATAGAAGAATTTTATATGGTACTCTCAGGATAGAATTTTTTTTTTTCAAAGTAAGCAAAAGAAGGAATATATATTTGGATTTAGTAATTCAAAAGCAACCACGTGTGCAGTTTATTGCAACCTTCTCTTCAGCCATGAACAAGTATTGTAAAGGAGCCGAAACATTCACCGCTATTGAGGAGATCACCCAGTGCCAGGGATTCTAGGGTTCCATATGGGGTTTTGAATTGCATTTGTGTATGGCTATCATGAATCTCAAGTCGGAGGCCAGACCCTGCTGTGTGGTGTGCCTCTCTCTTGGACATCTGGAGTCTTGGAGTATGATGCATACTACAGTGGAGCTTTGCTTTCGGCTTTCCTACCTTCAATGTGGTGAACTCATAGGGTTGGTAGCCTTTGAAGCTCTCGTGGATGGCAGCCATAGTGTGAGAAGTTTTCTCCCAAAAGTGAAGCAGGGTAGTCTGGAAAGAAAAGCACTAAAGCTGTTTATGTTTTGAATGCTGAGTTGCAGGCCCTGGACAAGCGTGAATGTACACAGCTTCCAAGATCCTCTGCTGGAGGAGTCCATCTCATTTCAGCACCCTAGTTTCCCATTAGGTCCCCAGGCACCCCAGGGGTTTAACTAACTGCTCCATTTCCCTCAAGCACTGCCTCCCATGTCCTACACAGTTCTCTTCACCTGGGACCCTTCCCTCTGGATTCTTTCTGTATCACTGAATCCATTTTCCAGAATCCACTCTCATCAGTAATCATCTATTTTAAATATTCTTCAACTGTTTGAGTTTTCCTTTTTGAAAGCCTCATGAACCTTTTTAGAACTTTTTTTACTTAGTATTTTCTGTCCTAGAGGTTTAGGAAATATTGTCAGATTGTCTGTTTTCTGCCTAAACTGCAAGCTCTTCGAGGACATGGAACCTGGTCTTTTATATTTATAACAATACACAGCAATTGGCAACCCACGCTCAGCAGACCCCTTAAGTAAATACAAGGATGTATAAAATTACAATGTATGTATAGGGAATAGATACTTGGTTTGAATAAAACCATAGAACCCTAGAAGACAGAGACGTGGGGAGTAAATTATGAGAATGGCATCCTGAAAATGTCAAAAGCGATTTTTTGCTCAAACATCCTTTATGCATTAATCTATGCCTCAAGGACTCTTTGTTCAGCATAACAAATATCACTTTGTTACCTGGTATGTTGCTAGCATGTGAGACAAGAGATTGCATCTGCTTGCTCCAAGAAGATCCACTTTTTGACACACATCCATCTTCAGCTTGTCAAAGTTTTTTTTTGCAAGACGTACCTGTGTCTGTACCTGTGAAAGCCAAAGAATCATTTCTGGATTAGTCAAATTTGTACCTGAGGGAAGTCCAGCAGCGGGCTCCACTCTTTATTATTTGAAAACTCCAGATAAAAAAAAAAATCCTATAGTCACTCTTTGCCTCCAAATATCTGAAGTCAAAGCCCAGCTCATTGTGCCTCCTTCCCAGTGGACTTAACACCTTAATTGCGTTTTCCTTACTCTTTTGTTAAAATTCCTTTCTTCTGAAGGCAAACTGGGCACAGTGTGGCGAATTCTGCAGTTGGCCAGGGTGGCAAGTGATGGTGGTAGTTCCACTGGTTTCCTGTATTTCCCTGGAGTTGTGTTCCCGTACACGTCTTACTCAGATTTCCTAGTGTTCTCTCATGCATAAAGGGACAGGTTTGTGAAGACAGGGACATGAACACTGCCACAAGCAAGCCACTACTAATCTACATTCTTGGTTTGGATTTCACATGACTTGCCACTGTTCAAGGAGCAAACGCAGGATAACACAGGAGGAAATTCTGACATTTCCTAAAGAAACTGCCTGCTCCCTGATCATTTTTAAAGTTCCTTGTATTGAGTTATGTACACTAGTAATCTGCCTCTGTCCCTGAACCAACAGAAAATCTAGGGACAAAGCGAAGGCCAAGAAAAGATTCAGACATGCCTGTTGTATATTTCATAGTAAAGCAGAATTAAAATTTAATGCAACTGCATTAACAATTGTGAGCTGGAGGAAGCTGTTCAGTCTGCTAGTTCAGGAGACTGTCTGGGATGCTCCCATCTGTACCCATGCACCTGGTTTCAAGTTATGGCTCTGCTCCAGACTCCAGCCTCCACTGGGAGGCAGGGCATGGAGGATCTGGATTGAATTCCCAGATCCAGGTTCCGACCTAGCCCAGCCCTAGCTGTTGCAGGCTTTTGGGGAGTGGACCAGGGCAGGGAATTCTTTTCTTTCCCAAGTCATATTGTGATCAAGGAAAGTGAAGCAGTTTTTTTTTTTTTCCTTTTTAACACTTTGTTGAAGTTTAACTGACATACCAAAAACTATCTTTTTAAGATATTCAGCTTTTAAGAATTCAGCTATGAACCTGTCTCAGGTAATGATGAAATTGTGGACACTAGGTAGGTAACTGGCAACTGGAAGTGACACTGGGCTTTGGATGACCTGCTCCTTCACCACAGGATCCTGGGGGACATGCACAAGGTCCGACTTTCCGCCAGCCCAGCAACCTGCCACAGAGCAGACACTCATGCATTTCCTGACTCAACGAAGAAAGTCTTCAGGACATTTGAAAACTAAGGCATTTGATTATATCTTAAAGCACAGAAGTGTTGACTGTGGCTGGTGGTGTGGTGCAGTGGTTTAATCGGCTGCTTGCAACACTGTCATCTCGTAACAGAGTTTCACTTTAATTCCTGGTTGTTCTGCTTGTAATCAAGCTCTCTGCTCGTGTGCCTGGGAGTTGGGGTGGGGACAGCAGATGACGGCCTGATTAATCAGACCCTGTCACCCATGTAGGAGCCCTGGATGGAGATCCTGGTTTCTGAATCCTAACTTCAGCCTGGTCTAGCCCTGATCGTTACTGTCATTTGGGGGAGAGGGGGCAGTGAGCAGATGGAAGCTCTCTCTGCTTTCTCTCTCTCTCTTTCTTTCTTTCCTATACTCTATCACACTGTCTCTCACAGTGTGAGAATTCATTATGCTCTTCAGAATAACATGTATTTGTAAAAAACAATTTATTATTTTTGGATATTTTCCATTTAACATTTTGAACCAATCCAATCATAGATGATTGAAACTGGGGAAAGCTAAATTATAAAGGGGGCACAATTATATTTGATATAAAGTGTACAGATTTTTTACCACTAATAACACCAACATTTACAGCTTATAAAATTACAGAGAACTACAGAGTAACAATAAATTCAATGATCTTATTTTAGCTGCTGTCATTTTTTCTCTTACTGGTAAGGACTGCGAGGTTCTGCAAGGGCAAGTAACTTAGTGCAGTGTCTGACCCAGTCTGCCTGAGCACCAAAGCCTCCCAAGCAAGCGTTCAAGCTACTTTCAAGCCCCCTTGAAAATGAAGAGGGTCAAAATTACAATTTTATCTGGAAAAACAACTTAGTCCTGAGAAGTTTATAGACTTAGAGAAAAGAACGAAGCAGTACATATAACATCATGACAGAATTAATACTCTTAAGTGGTTTACACCCACTGGGTATAACTACATAGCAGTTACTCTATGATGTTCTACAGAACTGAAAAAATCAGAGGTCAGTAGCTATTTTGCTCCTCTCAAACTGACCGTACTGTGGGCTTCCACTGAGCCCATAGCTGGAGCATCACGCACTCTGCAGTGGGTACTTCAGTGTAAGCTACTTGGAGCGCCGAGCATACAAAGTGTCTAGGATGAGCTAAGTGCTTTTCTTTGAGAGAATTAAGGAGAGAAAAGAAATAAAACTTGTGCTCTAGAGTGCCAGAGGGAGGGCCTGAAAGGGATGTCACTCACCAGCTGAGAGCCTCACTGCAGGACCACTGTGGTCACCAGCTGCTCAGAATGCAACCACCACTGCACTCCTGCAAAACATCTACCACAGCCTTCTCCCTTGAAGGGGAGGAAACAGATATAGGGGTGCAAGTGTTCATGTGTGCCTTCATTTAACACACATGAGCTAAGCTCCATTACATGTCAGGACCAGCACGAGGCACTGCGGTGTTGAGAAGGAATGAGCCAGCGGATGGGCAATCAGTAACCATTTGGGAATAAATGCCCATGGGCGTAAGGACCTCTCAGGCTTTTAGAAAGGACAAAGTTAGCAACCACACTGTAATGAAGGAAAATGGTGAAACAGAACTAAGTGAAACACAGACAAGCTGTTGGATGACATCACTAAAGCCCAAGATCTGCCACTCTACATCCTACCCTTTCACCCCCTAACTTTGTAATACCCTGTTACCATGTGGCTCGCTTTGGCCAGTGAGAAGCTAACAAAAATTCAGCACTAGAAGCTTGTCAAAATTGCCTCTGCTTTTGCTCTGGCTTTCCTATGATGGTCATGGGAATGGCTCCCAGGCTAGATGGGTACAAGAAATACTTGCATGCAAGAGATATGACAGGGAGGCCCCAGCTGTGTAACAGATTAGTCTTTGACCAGCTGACTGCAGACATGTGAGGGAGCCCAGCCATTTTCAGTACAGCCCCTTACTGCCCCACACCTGACCACGGCCACCCAAATGACTCCACCGGGATAAGAACTGTGCTGCTAACTCACAGATCTGTGAGCAATAAAAATGCTTATTAGTGGAAGCCACTGAGTGCAATGCTTGTGATTTCACAACCATTGTGGCTGTGGATTATTGATTTAAATCATAAGAACAAGACCATGAAGGCTTCTGATAGAGCGTACTGGGTCTCAAAGCATAACAAGGATGGATAATAAGCATCTATACAATTGGTCCACTGTAATAATGTTCCAGAGTTTCTAATTATATGTCAACTGATTTTTTTTCGCAGGGATGTGAATTATGCCTTTTTTCTTTATAGGAATAAATTAATTACTCAAAGATAAGTTTACATGCTAGGTGGTAGCTTATTTAATTTGGTCATGACAAAAATATCATGAATATAGTTTTGAACTGTGTCTTAAATTAATTTTGCTTGGATTTTATAAATTTAGAAACCCATAACACAACTTCAACACTTGACCCAGTAAGTTCTGGAAGGCCATATGCTTTGTGTGTCAACAATGATTATTAAAATACTTAATTCACTGCTGAGTTTCCAAATGCTGAGCCTTCTTGCTGCCAAACAAGGAGAATGTGACACTGCTGGGCATTTTGAATACAGTAGAGTTCATTTAATACTTTGTGCTCCATGTCTGTTCCAGCCTGCAGCCCCAGGACGCAGTCACGCCCTAGCTACCATCAACAGTATAATTTCATACACCTCCAGATGCACTTAAGTGAGAAACATTTGGGTTATCATTCTTCGCCAGTCCAGATACACTTTATCCAATTACATAAACATTGGAACGAACTCCTGTGGTTTTCAAGGTTCTATGAAGAAAATTCTCCAAGAAATGTGCCCTTTGTTTACTTCTTAGGGTTGTCACGTCCCCCTTTTTTTCTCATATTTTCCAATCTCAGGAGCTGACCCTGCATATCAACGCCTTTTATAGTTTGGGTCCTGTGTTGCTCAGGCCACAGAAATTCAGTTTGTGGGAGATGGTGGCAATACTTTCACAGTCAGATTTGTGGGGTCCTTCCCTGTTCCTATTCTTCCTAACCAGAAAGTCCCCTTGGCCCTAACTTGAACCCCACAGTATGCAGTCAAAGCTGTCTGTCCTTGTAGTTCAGTCTGCTCCTCCACAGTGGGAAAGGCCTTTATCCTACCTGACAACCGTATCAGCTGATGGTGGTTTTATATTTTTGCCTCACTCCCCTCCCCTGACACGTATTTTGTTTCTTTTGAGAACAAAACAAAACTAGCCACTGCACTCTCACTCTTCTATCTTCTTTTGAAAGACAGTTCTGCGCCCTCTCTCAATTAATTCAGCTGGTATCTACTATCTTTCATACACTGGTAGCAGCACACAGCACTGGAGATGATTCCTGCCCTTGTGACACTGTCAGGGAATATCATCGGAGGTATACTGCACATTGAACGAGGTGCTTAGAGCAAGAGCTCCGCAGCCCCACAAAAACATTTAACCAAGAATCTGATCCAGAGGACGTGAGCTGAGAACACGGTGTTCAGCATCTGCCCTGGAGGACTGAGCAGAGTGCAGAGTAATCGGTGAACGTGCGTGTGTCGGGGGCATATGTAAAGGCTCCGGGCTGGAGGACAATAAGGCAGATCCCAGAATGGATCACAGGCTGATGCAGTTGGCTTGCTAAAAACAGACAGGTGGGTGGAACAAGAGGAGGCAGGTGAAGTGGTTGATGTACATGATGGAAGAGGGCCTCAATGTATTCAGGTTTAGTTTTCATCCTAGGAGCAGTC